TTGTCACATGTATCTCAAGAAAGAAGAACATCGATCTGCGTATGACAGGTACCAAAGCATTCGAGACCAGCTGCGTGAGAAATTTCCGGTTGATGCACAATCTGCAGTTAAGATGTGGTTTGCTGCAAGCAAGCCCAAAGCTGTCAGAATGCGCAACCGTTGCATTATGCAAGCTAACATCAGGTTGCAGCAGTTCCTCGCTCAAATTTCCAGCCAAGTTGAGCTTGAGGTGGAGTGGTCCAAGGGGCTCATTTGGCTTGGCAATAAGAGGGTGGCAGCAGATGATCCTCTGGTGCTTGGTGCTTCAGATGGACAGTATGTCATTTCGCTCAGCACCGACCCCATGCAGGCTAACGTTATGATCCACTTTAACCTCACGCATATATCTAACATGACGGGGGAGGAGCAACGAAAGATCGAGGCTGCTTTACACCACCTACAGTGACCCCATTCATCTGACGTAGGCCGAAGCCATGGCAACCCACTTATGGTAGTGCAGGTTTGTACTTGGAACATCAAAGGCAAACAGATACAACACGTGTCTGATTGGATGTCATTAGAGTACAGCCCTGAGATCATCACGCTACAGGAAGTGGGTGGAATTCCAAATCTGTCTGATTTGTTCGTCCCCTCAAGGGGTGAGGCCCATGAGCTGCAGGAGCTAGCTTTTGGGTTGGATTCAGACATGCATGAGTACAGAGTTTTTGCTGGCAATACGGACGCGCATCTCTCACAGGTGATTGCTATCGATGCTGATATTGTTGATCATGTCAGGTTGTCTTTGATGGGCAAGAGAGTTGTTGGGGTGGGCTTCCTCAATGCCAAGAGTAAACGCCAATCACTGGTGCTCTCCATTCATCTTCCCCATTCAGGTGATAGTGATGCTGCCTTCCAAGAAGCAGTTGACGAATTTAATTCTATTGTACAAAAGTATTCACAGTATGACATCCTGGCTAGTGGAGATTGGAATTGCAAGCCTGGGAGCGTTAGACACGATGCGCTGGCAATCCCTTTGATCTTGCAAGGCGGTTGCTTCTTTGTCCCAGACACTCCGACCAGATTCGGTACCATTCGCAGTAGTATTCTTGATTACTTTTTCGTTGGAGGAGCTTGGGGCACGGAGCCACACCGGACCATGCCTGTTTTCAATGCCGCACACTTGCAGGGTGTAGAACATTCGGCAGCGCAGATCCAATCTGACCATGCGTGTGTCATGTATGATTTTACCCTGACATCTACACCCAAAAGAGTCAACGGTAAACTCCCCAAACCTAGCACCAGATGTGGTCGATGGAGGGTATCCACTGCAAAGCTGGAGGCAGCATGGCCTGATTGTGCAACATTCCGAACCATGACGAGTGAGGGTCAATGGGAGCTACTTTGCAATCTAGCGGAGCAATGCTCTTTTCGGGCACCTTCTAGACGATATCGGGATTCAGAGGCGCTCAAAACTCTATGCATGCATCGTCGGCTGTGCCGTGATCCTACTGAGCGCACTGCCCTCACCCGCATGATTCTATTGCTGCGGCAGTTTGATCGCGATGTGTGGTACAAAGACCTCTTGACCAGAGCTGCTAACAAGGATCATGAAGCTACTAAGTTCCTGCGGCGTGGTGATAATCACGGGGGAACCCATCGCTATGATGATGCTTTCCGGCATTTTTCTGGCATTGAAGGTTTCGCAGAAGAAGTTCAGGCTTACTTCACCCATCGCTTCAATGCAGACACTGTCTTACCATCTCAGATGTCTCGGTCTTGCGCACATGCACCTGCGTTTCCTCCCGCGACTCCTTTCTCGCAGGAGGAGGTCAAAACACGAGTCCAGCGCATGAAGACCAACAAATGCTCCGGAATGTCCGGGATGTCTGTTGAATTTCTCCACGCGGTGATGCAACATGATGAGGGAGCCCAGATAGTCACAGACCATTTGAACACCTTGCTTCATCAGGGATCTTCATTGCCAGCGCAGCGGATAGCGGTGATGGTTCTCTTGCCAAAATTGCAACACGTATGTGAACCAAAAGCAAATGAGGCCGATTGCGTTGATGGAATGTGTTCACAAACTATTCATGTCACTCTTGGTTTCGCGTGTGCAGGCTTCATGGCAACCCCCAAAGTATCAACAGGGAGGGCTGCAGGGATCACAACTGCTGGATGCATTATTCCTGGCAGCGAATCGGCTACAATGGGACTCCCTGCAACTCACTCATTCTGTCTGGGTTTCTGCTGCTGTGGAGGCTGCCTTTGATTCTGTCAATTGGGACAAACTTCGTGATACACTCTTCCGAATTTCGGACCAGCACGTATACCCGGAGATTCATCGGCTCATGCACGAGATCTCTTCTCATTGCTTACTTTTGAGTTTTCACGGCCTTGCTACGGGGTTGAAACCTACTAAAGGAATCCTTCAAGGCGGCAGTCACAGTGCCCAGGTGTTCGCCATACTGATTGAGCACATTTTCAAAGCATTCATGCAGAGTGGGACCGACAATTCCCGGGAGAGGTTGGGGCTTGGGCCTTCATTGATGACTGCATGCTCGTCTTCAACTCCTGGGAGGTTGCCGCGCGCGTAATACCGTGGGTTGTCGAGGCGTTCGCCGAGTATGGACTACGGTGGAATATGGGCAAAACAACTGTCATGTCCACATCCAGTATGCTTCATCAGGGGCGCCTTTGCATTCCACCTACTCATGTGCTGTATCAATGTCAGTGGAGGGAAACGGCTCGTTACTTGGGAGTTACATTTCAACATCCAGCTTTCGATTCTGA